AATTTCGATCACAAGCAAAAAGAAGAACCCTAATAAAGACTTACAGGTATATGCTGACGTTGCAGTTAGTTATTAATCACAAAAGAAAAATATGGTTTTGTCGGCGTTTTTGTGACTTTCTCTCAAATTTAATTTCTCTATAAAGCGTTAACTTGCTTAATATTGAAATGAAAAAAATTTTACTGAGGGTTTTCGGGATGTTGGTCAGAATTGCTCCATATTTTCAGCGGCCACATGGGCACTACTATGTGACCCGAATTCTTTATCAATACCAAGCTCTGCAGGATGACTTCACGTAATGCACGCAACCTACTCCGGATACTTTAATTATTTTTCTAATGAACTCAAACAATTTCTATACGTCGTATAGCTGGGTATACTTTGTAAATTGCCAGAAAACCCTGAACGCAATTAACCATTTTGGAAAGATTCTAAAATAAAAGAAAAATGGATGAGAGAACGCATTCAACTCGCTAGTAAGCCAATGAGTGTATGGACTAAATAAAAAGAATCGATCCTTTTTAGAAAGATTTCCGACTACACACTGCTTCGCGGGAAACTCTCAATAACGACGTGACAACAAAGTCGACATGGTAAAAGCGATAGGAGAATTCCATGAAAGGACGAACAGTGAACTCTTGATGGCTATACAAGTAGAGTTACTTTATGATATGACAGTAATTACTGGACGTAGATTAAACTTTGAGTGACGCGTCGTTAAACGTCCCTATGGGCGTAAGACAACGCGCTCGAAACAAGAAAACCGGAGGTGTGTATAGCCAAACATACAACTAGTGGGATTATCTAAGATTGAAGCTATCTATCTGGCTTATATTTATCGCGAACTAGAGTAACTACATGTTATATATTATAAATGCGGCGACAATTCAACTTTAATAAATATTTATGACAAGTTTTAAATTTTTGCCTATGGCAATCATAAGTTACGAACACAAACCCATTGAAATTATCGGCGTATTCGTACCTTACTCAGTTTCAAAGCTAGCGTTACTTGACATGTGGCATATGAAATAGATTATGGATTATGGATGGAAAGTTTTATTATTTGTTCATAGGTCTACAAACTTGTTAAATCTCTAACAACGATCCCAAACATCTTACGGAGAATTCTATAAAAATAAACAATTTATTTATTAAATTTGAAAAAGACCTGGATGCGGTGTCGCGGTCGCCAACGATGAAAAAATTTTTAAGTCATTCATACTGACATTAGAAATCATTTATAACGGACTCTGTCCCTAAATACTAATAGTTAAGATTCAGATATTACATGCAGAAAGGCTATATATATGTATTATTATATATATATTTTGGAAAATCTCAATTGTTCTACGTTTCACAACCAATGGCAAAACTCGGAACTCCTTCTTACATTACCAAATGTGCATAATAACTACGCAAGATCCTCACTCTCACTCTCTCACTCTCTCTCTCACTCACTCTCTCTCTCACTCTCTCTCTCTCTCTCTCTTACCCTTTCAAGAGAGATGCTTCGCGTATATTGTGAGAATAACTCAATTCATGTGCATGCATTAGATTGGAATGGGCAAACAATTACAACGCTATAATTATGGAAACAAATCAGGTAAGCTGTAATTTTCCTTACACAGCTTGTTTAACATGAACTTAGTTTTTCTTCTCTCTTCATTTAAAATTGTCTATAATTATCAAATGTTTTTTTATCAAATTATACCTTACGACGGCTAACACAGTTTGTCTTATTTTAAAGGGTGACCTCTGGTCTCAAGAAAATGTATTGTTCAGTTGTTCTGGCATTTTTGAGCACATGTTCTAGGCTTCAGGTTTAATGTATATCTCAAGCCATGTTAAACAGAAAACTTTTATGATTGTACCATTTCTTTGAAGAACGTATGTGTCTTAAAATCTTTACTCTCTTAATTGGACTAACAATATAAAAATTTCTTTGTTATGTAAAACTTATCTTCAAGAATGCAATCTATATAATAGCTGGTGAAAATGAAAAATGGTTTTATTTCTAGTTTTAAAAGTGTTGATTAAAGTGACACGTTTAACCAGAGAGGCCTTAGTAATTGCATATGAAGTACTTCTCGATTATTTGAAAAACATGTAATGCACTCTTAGATCCAATAAATTTCTTAGTCGGACTGAGAATAAATTGAATTTACTTGAAAAGTCCGAAAAGTGTTGTAAATAAGCAAACAGCAAGAATTTAAATCTACCGAAACTAATCAAACATAGTTTGAGGGACCGACTTAAAATTGCAGAGGCTGCCAAGCTTTTAAGAAGTTACTAGGCTTTTTGATGCGCCTGATAACCTAGAACCTCAAAACAAACAAAAATTTAATCACACAAGACGGATGAGTAAGCAAACAAGTTCGAGTGTTTACTATACAACGGACTGCTTAACCACACCACATATCAGGTGCTTGCATGTATTTCGATCATTTTTTCACTTGAAGAGCCATTATTGGTCCAAATTGGCACAATGTATATTAATCAGAATATTTTCCATCGTTCTCTGCATTTTCTGCAGCGAACCAATCATCGGTCTATTTTCGCACGTTTTCAGTATTTCGAAACCATGTGCCAGCCATGCCATATGTGTCTGGTGAGTGCGCTAGGTGCGGCGGAACTTTCACTTCGAGTTGCAACAGTTTACCCTTTACAGCGCTTGCAACGTGTGGTCGAGCGATGTCATGTAAGAGCATGACTTTGCATCTGTTAACCGCCATTGCTGATCTCTTTTGCAACAACTCATCGTTCCATTTGTGCAATTGACTTCGGCAAACATCTGCAGTTAAAGTCCCATTCGGTTTTAGCAGTTCGTAATACGCTACATCTTGCTGATCCCTCAGTAAAACTTTATGGCTATTAAGCTATCAGGGTCGATGTGGATGTCTCTCCTGAACTAACTCACGATTTTTTGTACTTGGAATTATCATAGTAGACCCACTTTTCATCGTCAATCATAATACGTCACATGAAAATCTTTTTCTCTTGCTGGGTAAGCAATGAAATCACGATATTGAAACGTTTCGAAATGGCTTCAGTCAACTCGAATGGTAGCCATTTTCCCTCTTTTTGAATTTTTCCCATTATAGGTGAAGATCCAGACCCAACTGATTCAGCAAATGGTAAGTCATTCGAAAGTTGAAAGGTCTTTAAGAGTTTTCACTGGGTTTTCATCCAATAAATTCTGCATTGTCGCATTGTGTTCGGACTTTTTTAGCCCCCCGGGCCGTTCTTTGACGTTGACACTAAAATAACCAGTTTTAGATCGTTGAAACTAAAACCGACAATTTGGATATGATGGAGCAGCATCATCATAATCTTCTGAAAGTGTTTGTTTGGGCTTTGTCAGCAGATTTCTTCAAATCGAATAACAAAAATAATGAGTGCCAGAAATGCACTTTTGAGCGTTTCATGGTTAGCGTCTTTATACACTGAACAACTCAGTCATACAAAATACATATAAGAAACTATTATTTTTTTCGATCAGCGACTTTTGCATTATAATATATTCAGAAATTCATTTCATTGGGTATCGTCGCAATAAGAGATTCTTCAACTTTGTGACAAAATAATAAAACACTTTCACTGCCCACATTCATTAGCAATGGGACTTGCTTTAAGACGGTGTTCTTGTCGTCCCCTCACTCGTTCGTGGATTTGACATTTAAGCACATCTACGCTTACAACACGACAACGAACTTTTGATATATTTTTGGATTTTTTCGATTTTTCACGACATACAGCGAATAATAATCTGCAATTTGTAACGAATAGCAATTTAAGCCGTTAATCGAGCTCAATAAAAAATAACTTCTAACTAATCGGTACTAAAAATTCTCTTAAAAACAAATACAAGGTAGTAATCTTATAGCTGAAAGTTAGCTTTCGCTGTTTTATTCAGCAATTTGGCGAATTGTTCATACCTGATTATATTGCAATTCTCGTATGTTGTGGCTTGTTTTTGTCCGAACTTGCTGTAACAGTTGCACATGTAAAGAGGCAACAGAGAAAACAACATGAAGAAAATTTGTGTTCGGATGTATTCACCACCCTTGCCTTAAGAAAAGAAAACCCAAAGATAAAACGTAACAATTGAAATTTCTTTGATCCATAATTTCGGGTGAACATGGCCCACTTTTATTTTTCGCATACTGTAGAATTACCCGCAAATATACGCAGACATTTTTATCTCCTATATCTCTTGTAGTTGTTGATAAGTAATGAGCAAAAAAACTAACCTTTTGTGCTTCAAAAAAAAAAAAAATCTTCGCACTTTCGATAGGACGGTGGCGGTTCGCTTTACCCGCTTTGGCCCATTTTCTATATCAACGTGCGCGCAAGAATGGCTACTATTGTCCCGAACTGACATCTTAACATTTGTAATCAGTGTGATTCTTAACATAGACATGACACAGGGACAGACAAACATGCGCAGATCCACTCAGATTTTGATACTGATTAAGAACATACTCCTCTCATTCGGCGGCGACGGGTATAAAATAAACCGTGCCTCGCATGCCCCCGGGTGATTCACAAGTCACTTCTTAATTCCCTCTACATTCACTACCAGGTAACTCGTAACATTTCACGTGTAAAAGCAAAAACTAGATGTTAATAGCCTTATGGTAATACCTCCAGTTGAATTTCTTAAAGTAAATTTCGAAACTACACTGATTGTTTCTGCAATTTCGATCGCAATAGGCGCTGGACATTAATATCTTATGGAATTCGCATTTCACTCCATCCTTAGCTAATTGAGTTTATAAATCTTCAAAGAAGACTACAATTATTAAAAACTGTTAGCAACTGTTGTTTACGCGCCATTCTATCATTCGGTACGTAGGAAAAAAAAAAAACCCAACAATAATAATTTTCATTCACAGCGGAATTTTTGTCATATATTTTCCGCGTTTAAATTTTGATGATAGTATTAGTTAAGCCGCATTGGAAGCGAGCATTTAAAAAATAATAACTAAATTACTTACCATTTTTGGGCTTTTGTGGCATCTCGGCTGGATCGAAACCCCGTGTTTGAAATATGTGCACTACGGCACTACAATTAGGCGTGAATTGTTCCAATATGGAAGAGCTAACCGGCGCAGCTAAAGCGGCGGCCAATGGTGGCGGTAGGGGAGCTGTTACTGTAGCCAAGCCATTCGTATAGGTAAATAATAAACATACACACAAAACAAATGCGAACATTGAAAACAGCGACGGACGGTATGGGCAAATATATCGAATAGAATGATACTGTCGCTGCTGTTGATATCGATGTTGTTCTTGCTGTTGTTTGTGGCTGCATGCACAACGCAAAGTAGACAATATGAACACTGTAAGAGCGGCAGAAACGTTGTCGATGATTGACGAGTTACAGGTAAAGCAAATTGCAGACGGACTCTTTGCGAAGGTAGAGTATAAATTTGTTGTTCTTGTAAACATTGTTATTGGTATTGTTATTATTATTGTTCTTGTTATTTTTGTTGTTATGGTTCCTATTCTTGTTATTGTTGTTATTATTATTATTATTGTTTTCCTACTGCTATTATTTTTGATATTTAAGTAAATAAATAAATAAGACACACACACACACACACACACACACACACACTATAATTCACCTTTTTTTTTAACGATTACTTTTTTTCACCTTTTTCATTCGAATTCGTTAGGGGACGCAAAAATTACGTTTTTCTAATGCACGTATTTTCTGCGCGCACATACACACGAGAAAAACCTACTTATGCACGGAGACAATAAAGATCCCAATTCAAATTTCAACTTGAAAACATTTTCATTTTTTGCACTTGATTTCTGAAATTTTTTTCTATTCTTCTTTTTTTTTTTTACTTGCCTTCCTTTTCGCTTTGTATAACTTTTATTAATTTAATATTATTATTGTTGTTGTTATTGTTGTTTTTTTGTTTCTTTCTGTTACCGTTGACGCTCTTTTATTTTGCTACAGATATGATTGTTGTTGTACGTCTCTTTACGTTTTTGGCGGCAAAGTGCGGCTAACTAGCAAGTGCTGGCACCAGCCTGATAAAATACATGTGTAGTTGTTTAGCAGTTCTTGTTTATAGGCAATGGGACAATTTATAAGAGTGTAATATTGTGTATGTGTGCTGCGTATTTATATGTACGTTACATTCATGTGTGTACGTTGTGTGCGCAAACGGGTATGCGTGTGCTTAGGTTTGCTTAACGAAAATGCTTAGAATAAAATCGATCTCTTATTTCAGTTCAGCTCACATTTAGTCATCTGTTCGGAAATTTGAAGCCGAAATTGATGAGGACGCAAACATAAACTTTTGGTATATAATTAAATAAATAAATATTAGTGAGTAACTTCACTCTTTTATTCGTTATTTTATTTATTTATGACTCTGCTTAGCTTCTTAACTATATTTCTACGCCTTTTTCCAACTAAATAAATAGAAAGGTATTAATTAATAAACAAAATTGTTTAATTACATTAAATGCCGCTATGTGCACATGCATATGCTTGCTATTGTTTACATTCCACTATCTACTAATGCGTTCGTTTTTGTTATATTTACTTCAATTTGTATTTCAGCACTTTTTAACGGTTTGTTTACCTTTGACGGTACGATTACATATTTCGTTACATTATTTCTATTGAAAATCAGTTCATATAAAATAACTTTTTACAAACTCGTGCACACGCAAAATCTTGTTTTCTAAAAATAGCTCAACAAAGATTATTTTTTACGATGCCGTACATTAATTATTTCAATTTCATATTAAAACAAGTAAGAAAATTATATTCAGTCAAGATCGAATCGTTTATGCCCATCGCTATGCCCATCCTAAAAAAGACAATAGAGAAGGAAAAAAACTAAATTTTCATATCGTATAACATTGGGCGGACGGTGCCGATTTTTCCCATTTTTAGAATAATAATGGAAAGTTGGAAGCTGTATGTGTTGCACTTTATAAGTAGCAACGATAAAACTCGAAAAGAAAACGTGTTTAAAATTTTTGTTGTATAGGCATGTCCTTTGACCGGTTTAATCCATTGTCAATTTCTTTTGCAAACTAGTCGGCGATATCTTAATTTTGGCTAAGGCATAATATTTACCACAGATATTACAAAGTTGGGCAGATGGACAGACGGACATGCTTAGATGCATTACTACCTTGAAACTGGCTAACGACTCATATATTTTATGGGATTTCTGAAATTTGCTTCGGCGCCTTAGAAAGCTATTGAAGTCAAAATTACCTTTTGATACTCTACAATATTGAAAAGTCGTGGTCAATTTTTAGCGTATTTGTACAAGGAATGCAGCATCGCAAGTAAGAAAATGTGTCCAAGTTTTCATAGATTTACTGGCCGTAGCTTGGGAATATTGAGCAAAAAGTAATTCCAAATAAATTTGTTCCTTTTGCAAAGCAGAGGTGTTCTCAATTTACGTAGTACTATAGGCGTGTCCTTCGACCGATTTGAAACATTTTCAATATCAACCCGCATGCAAAAACTTTCAATATTTCTATCAATTTGAAGTCGATGGCTTCATATTTACAACAGACATTACATTAACGGACAGATGAATATGCTTAAAGCGATTCAAAATTTGACACTGGTTAAGAGTATATACGTTGTAGGGTCTCTGAAGTTTCCTTCTGCGCGTTGCAAACGTTGTAACAAAATGAATACATCTCTCATCCTGCGGTGATGGGTAAGAAAAATAAATAAATAAATAAAAACAAATGGAATGAAATAAATAAAAAATGAAACGCAGACACCAGTTTAAAAAAGCCGTAACATACTTCTATTTAAGAAACCGCCTTTGTAACTCAATTTTGTTTTTGCCTAATTTGCAATCTCTTTTTGCGCTCTAAACACCCTTTGCTTCAATTTCACTTTACTTAAAATTTTGTTTGAATTACTCAATTTTTTGATACATATATATATATATATATATATATATATATATTCAAATATATGTGTATTTAACATTCCATAAGAAAGCGCGTATTAACACCTCACGGACGAGCACTTTTTGATTTAAAATTTTGGTCACCAACCGATTGATTTTTTATAAAAGGTGCCCAAATTTTAGCAAATTTATCGAAAAATGGCAAAAAGAGTTTCTATAAACCAAATAATATTCGCGCATAAAATTGAAAATAAAAAAACTGAATGGCTTTACGCATAATTACAACTTCACATCTTTCGCTAGAAAAACAAATTGCAACTTTGTCTTTTATTCTTATCAATAGGCAAATTTGCAATAAAAATATTTAAAATAAATTATCTATTATTCAGGCTGTTCACATAATTATCTTGCCGTTATTATTCTGTTTTTTCGAATATTTTATGTTTTTCATGTCTTTAATAATAATTTTTTTTTTTTTTTTTTTTTGTAATTTTAATCTTAATAGTATTAAATATATTTTAACTAATTAACCATAGGCAAAAGTATTTATTTTGTGTTAATAGTTTTCTTCTCGATATTATATATATTTACGTATATTATTTCGCACAATCTTCCGCGATAAGAAACCTACACGTCCTTATCGCTCAAAATTCTAAAAAACACTAAAAACAAAAACAATTGTTGTAACGAAAGAAATTTTCTCTCAGAGCGAGCAAAATTTGCAGTACCAATGCCAGCAATGGCTAAATAAATGATGCCAAGTAAAGAGTTTAGCTCGAAATCACGTAATTGAAAGTTAGTTTTCATTTTCGCATTCAGCAATTTAGCAAAAACAGCTGAAAACCTAAGCGAGAATTATATTTTCCATACGCGATTAGTCTCCTGAATATTCCGTTGCGCTCTCAACAAAAAGTGTGCAGTTAGAACAGACATCATACAAAAAGCAACTACACTAAAACAGCTGCGGCTTGAATTGAAAAAGCTTTTCAATGGCAACTGCCCGTTGATATGCTTTAGTTGCTTAGTTTTTACTCAGCTTGTCCGTGGTTCGATGCGCTTGGTTGCTTTGTTCGCTTTAGTTATCAGTCAAGTTTGAAATAATAACATCAGTATGAATGGAGAGGAGCATTCATAAGCTTTGACCGAATTTTAATGACGCTTCATTTTATTAGAAAGAAGATGAAAATTTGTGATAAATAATTCGTTTTGCATGAAACGAGTAAAACTGAGAAACTCATGATATACGATGGAGATTTAAATATTGAATTTATATTAACAAACTAAAATAGCTGTAAACCTTACCTAAGTTTCATGTCAAACCGCATCTAACATAGCACATAGATAAAGTAGATGGTAGATTAAAGAAGCCGAGTGTGGACAGCCCTGTTATATCTTATGTTTTAATTTGCGCTAAAAAGAAAAAATCACGTTTAAAAATGGTACGGTTACAAAACGTGCCAAACTCACTCACATCTTCGTAGTAAGAAACATACATAGTGTAGATTACTATGATTATTAACCGTTTCGGTAAATAAAAAAACAGCTACAAATGGCTACAATTAAAGTTATCTCAACGCTGTTTCCTTTTTTTAAAATTGACAAGGGCCCGTATGCAAAATTCTACAAGTTTACTCCAGATCTTTTTGGATTGGTTATAGAGAACGAAAAGTCCGCTAACGGCTATGTTTCTAATCGCTTAAGTAAAAGTGGCAACTCATAAAGACTGAGTTTATTAATCCACTTTCAAACTGTATATGTTTAAAAACTTTCTCGGTTATTCAGAGGTTTAATTACGTCTCAATATATTTGAATATCTTCACACAAGCAAATCTTTTTTCAAACAATTCTTCAAACCTTCATATGCAATCACGTCAGATTTCACCCACCTTTTTATTATTATTTAACACGTCTTAGCAACAAATCGTCCTACACCGCCCGAAACCAAAAACCTTTATTAATAAATAGACCTTTACGAAAGTAGTGAAACCTCAAGTCTACCAGCAAAGTTTACCTCAAAATGACGAAAATAACCGGCCAAACACAGAATTGAAGATTCTATTGCTTTTGCTCACACACATAATTGTTTAAGCAAACGCACGCACAAGCGCACAAATATTTGTACAATAGCACGTATATCCGTTTACTGCACTATCGCAAAACCAATTATGCGTGGTCTTATATCTACATAATGCGCACAAAATTCAGTAAATGTGCTCGTCTCAGCAGGGTAATCACATATCTGATAGTTAGCTTTCGTTCGCGACGAAACCGAGTGCTGATAAACGTTTTTATCACGATTTCATTCATTTAAGACTTTCGTATCATTTTCGCTGTTATCATCCATGTGCGAATGAAATAGCAGAAAAAGAAACAAGTTTTTATTTATGTTATAAAATTGTGGCTTTCAAAATTCAAAAAATGACAGCTGGTTCTTCTCTTTGACAAATTGACAAACAAACCAATTATTGATGGAATGGTGAGCCACGAGTGTACCACACATTTAGCTAAATGGGTGCATAAACTACGAGCAAAGCTAACAACTGTATTATTCCTTACAACAATAGATATGCGGCTTTTCACGTTTGCATGCGTTTATTACGACTTATCTGCAATTATCACAAAAATTCTGCTAACAAATTATACAGATTGATTAGCTTTGGCCCGGCGGACACATTGAAAAATGAGCAAACTGAAAATCTAATTATGACCACGTTTAAAGCGAGGATTTGATGGAGAGAAAATTCTTTGAAGACGAGTTTGATGACAATGCTGTTTTATTGGTATCATTGTCTTTATTTAATAAAAGCAAATCATATATAACAGAAGTATATCCGTCTGAGTTATGTGAGAATCGACGACCCCTTGAGTCAACAACAAGTCTCGTTAAAGGGGATGACGGAAGCTGACAAATTTATTATTTCTTAAAACAATAGAAAAACGACTTTTTTTGTTCGCATGATAAGGATTCTCTTAACAAATTACAATCCCTTAGGTGCCATTGGACACATTAAAAAATTTGGAAAATGCAAATCTAATGATAATTACGGTTAAAATAATTATTTCAGCTGGTGGGCAAAGAAGGCTTTGCGCCATCTTTCCACGCTGCAGTTCAATAAGGAAAACTATTTATATACGTTGTTTATATACGTTGCTACTTTATTCAGTTGATTAAGGGGAAAATAATCGGTAAATATATTTAATAAATGTACATTAGAACATAAAAAATTTATTGGTATCAAGATCATTATTCTATTAATAATAATGATATTATTATATAATAGAAGGACATAGTCATTATATTTAATGGGTCATCGCCATTAAACAAAGATACATTATCCGGCTGAGAATTGTAAAAATTTCCATACGATATAAGTTATATAAAAAAAGCGCTTCCAAGGAGCCGTTTAACAACTATCAAGGGACCAAATTCAAGTGTTAAGAGAGGAAACTCAACTATTAAAGGAACAAATCGAGAGCGATAGGTCGATCAACGTCAAGCTATTAAAGCTGAAAAAGAACAACGTGCATTTCCTCTTTTCTTAGATCCCAAGTAATTGGGTTGGTTGAATTATTCAAGTTTCTACTCAAATTTGATCTAAAAGAAGACAATTTTAGTTCTTTATGTTGACAAACTTTGAATTTTATATTCTTTTTTATTTTTATATGTATACTATTTATATATTGAATACGTACATATATTTATTTCTATTATGAACACTATTAATAAAATAGAAGTAAGCATCTTGCAGAGCACTTCTCTGCCTCATAACAATCCCTTCTTCTATCAAATGTTGCAGGGGCGTTCTGAGTAATATTTATATATGTCGATTAACACAAAACGATTGTTTGTTAATATTTTATTACTTACTTTTCACGAACTCCAACTTGTGACTGGTTCGTTGACTAAGGAACGTGGCTTATAGGTCCACCAAAAAAATTCTGCAAAAATTTTAAAGGACAAATTTTCCTTGAAGCAAATTTTGGTTTCTGCGACCAACTCAAACTCTTGCAGAAATCTACATTTACCAATATAAATACACAATATATAACTACGTATGACACACAAATATATTTACGAAAACTTACACATTTTCAAGTAGTGTAAGGGAATTGGAAGCATCCCGCAGAGCCCTTCTGTGGCTCATAATAATTCTTTGTCGCGAAGTTCGATCCTTTTTCATCAAATGGCATGAGTGATATGTCGAAGCATTCTGTCTAATTTTTATATATTGATTATCACAAAACGACTATTAATTAACATTTAATAATATATTACTTACCATTCACAAGTTCTAATTTTCTTGGTCAACAAGTTTCTGCTTTGTTTGTTTGTTAGTTCGTTTTTTTTCTTTGCTAATTTTTCGTTTTGGTTCAGCTGTTTGTACGTTAGACAGGGCACTGATTTTATATCTTCTTGTTAAATAGCTTTCATTTCGAAGGCGTACCTTGGAAACATTTGGTTAAGAATTATGTATGACTTTCATCTTTCGAAATTTATTTCGAAAAAACAATGAGAACACAAGGGTCAAATATGACATTTCTTTGTTTCTAAGATACAATTAATAACAAAATGATACAAACATAAATGAATATAAAATTTTCTAAATTTTTGACGAAATAAACTAAGCGAAATACTTTTAACAGAAAAACCAAATTAAAACCTGCACTCAATGAGTTGTATTGCTTTCCGAACCAGCAAAAATACTTACACATATTGTGCAGCATGGAATTACCTGCAATTCCAATGAGTTGCGAGTAATGAAGTGCAGACAATTTTGATTGTAAACAGATAATGTTTTCGACTTTTTACTCAACTAGTTCTGCAGAAAATATCTTCTACCAGTGGAAATCAGCCATAAGTACAACTGTAATGTAGAATTTTTGCTTTATTTTCTAATTCGCTTTTGTATGTGTTTAGAAACGCTCACATGTTAGATTACGACGCCTGGAATGATATTCCCAGTAAGAAATGAAAGTAAGTGCATGTGTTAATCTTCATTTTTAATGTCAATTATTATATAATTATTAATAAAAATGATTACTCTTTGCCAGATATTCATCTTATGATGAAAGCACAAAATAGTTCGGAGAGGGTCTGAGCTTTGATATCTTGGATTTGCTTAGGGAATATGTTGAAAGTGGTCAACAATATAACGGCAAACAACTGGAAAATCAGGAGCGAATAGTGCAGTTGTTAGCGGATATTATAGATGACTTTAAGGCGCTCTATCGCAGCAAGTGACAGTCAGCCATGGAAAAGAACGATTTAACTTGACAGCGTCAATTCGAAAGTGTAGATTCAGATCAAATGAACTTAATTTTCCTTTTGATTCCTATCTATAATTTTCATTGTGAGTTTGGATTTTGAATTTTATTTTTTTACTTCCATTTTATATATTTGTTACCTTATTATAGATCCTATCCGAATTGCCGTCAAAAGGACATTGACATTTATAGACTCTTCGAATAAACACAGTCAAGCGTGGAAAGAATATAAATAATTTAACTGCCAACTTTATTACTTATCAAGAGATGTTTACATCATTTAAATATTTAGATTCCTTGACTGTGCAACGAGGCCAGTCTAGCAATTGTGCGGATATATGAAGTGCACTATTATCGCCGAATTTAATTGATTGGGCTTCTCGTACGTCCTCGACTCGTTGATATGCTATGATATTGAATCTTCTCATAGCTTAATACTAAATCCACCGAACATCATTATTAGTGATGATCTTTCGGGAATTCAAATGGAAAAAAGATGGAAACTTGCCACACATAACTTGACAAGCTCCGGCAAAACGAATGACGTAATGACACCTTGTGGCCTGCATAGAGGTAAAACCATTAGTGTTCACGGTAAAAAGAATGACCCTGAGAATGCGGCTGTGTAAGACGCAAAAGAATCTTCCGTTTATTTGACGTCAGCTTCGATTTTTGCTACTCTTCCGGTTCCGCGTCTCAGTGCAACCGCTCATCCACCATCTGATGTGATAGCTGCAGTTTTACCTGTTGAAGCCGTAACATTAGCTAGAGGGAGGCGGTGGTTTCATCTGCTACTACATATTCCGAATAAGCGCTGGGCGTACACGTGCTATCGTTGGGAATAAGGAGCAACTTCAAACTCAATCTTAACCTTCGATAAATATCGCTAGCATAATTGCAGTAGGACCTCCTATGTCTACGGCGGCAACTAGATGTACATCTAAATCTAAATCTCCAGCTGTGGATCTGCAGCTTTGAAGTGAGAGTGATCAGCTTCTAGTAATCCCCGCACGAAAATCAGTTTTTGTGTCTCGATTGGCCATAAATACCTCAACTGATGTGATGATGTGTAGGAAAACAAGTAGGCGTTGGTTTTATTTTGTTTGGGATGTCAAGTTTTCTTTTTTGTTGGGAACGTTTTTTTGAGTATTCAACTTTTGGATTTTGTTGAGTTCAATAAAAAAAAAAAAAATAATAAAAAAAAAAAAATAAATAAATTTAAAAAATTTTAATAATTAAAAAAAAAAAAAAAAAATATTCCGTTGAAATATGTCATCCGTGAAGTAAAGACTTTTTTTTAGTAATCTAAAAAAGAAGAAAATTGACAACCCAACGCGAGTGCATTAAATAATCCAGTTCGCTAATTATATTAATGTTGTGACCGGACTCCTGAGGCATTGGTACCGTTAAAGAAAGGACATTCCCATTACAAAAAAAAAAAAAAAAAATTATTATACAGTTGAAATATGTCATCCGTAAAGTAAAGACTTTTTTTTTAGTAATCTAAAAAAGAAGAAAATTGACAACCCAACGCGAGTGCATTAAATAATTCAGTTCGCTAATTATATTAATGAAGTGACCACACTCCTGAGTCATTTGTACCCTTGAAGAAAGGATATTCCCAATATAAAAAGAAAGTATTGAGTTGAAGTATGTCATTCGTAAAGTAAAGACTTTTTTTTTAAGTTTAAAAAAAAAAAAAAAAAATTATATATATATAAAAAAAAAAATATAAAGAAAAATAAACATTTCTTACGACACTTAAAGAAGAGCTAAAAATAACTAGAAGCAGATAATTTTAACCAATTGAAGATCGCTTGTTTCAAAAGAACCAAAAACACACAATGTGTGAAAATATGCACATGCAAGCCGGTCAATACGAAAATTAAATCGGCGGAAAATTTTGGGAGGCTATATCAGATGAGTATCGCATAGTCGCCACTGGCACGTATTACGGTGACAGTGATTTGCAACTGGTGTAGAAAATCAAAGAGCGGACGTGACAGCGGTTTCAAATTAGGTCAAACAAGTTGTATATTTTTTTTTCTCTAGGACCTCGAATGTACATTCGGCGTGACTAGGTGAGTTGTATTTTATATCATTAATATAGTTTATAATTCATGATTTTTACGACTGTTACACAATTGTCACCAATAGGTTAAGACATTTTTAATAATTCCAATATAATAAAATGTTTGTAAACTAATTATGTTGTTATGATACTGGCTGGCGAAGTAAGTGTACACTTAACACACTCTAATTCACTACACATTCACTTACACCTTAAAAATTTATAAAGATTCTATAGGGCAAAATCATTTTCATGAACCCCCCAATTGCGGCGAGCTAGTTAGATAACGTTAAGAGCCCTTTGAGCTGCTTTGCATGCTACAGATGAATTACATCCGCAGAACGGCATCGTTGATCGGCAAGTTGAAATGGACGAAAGAGCTATTGGAAAAGAATTGGAAACTAGAAATATAAAATATTTAAAATAAAAGTGGATGCTCTATGGTTCTCGCCTCTTACATGGTTGCCGAACTGAAGTTCTTAACTGGTGTTACTCAATGCATCTACAGAACTTTAAAAGGAATCCTAAAAGCTTTCACAGTTTTGTGAATTCAAAAAGAAGAGTTTATGAATTGCCTTCGCCTATGTATGTTGACAATATTGAAGCATCTGATCTGCAGACTATTTCCAACTTCTTTGCAAATTTTTTCGAACAATCATTCTCAGACCAAAGTTAAAGTGATGTTAATAGCTATCCCTATCATACTGACAATTATGATATTTTATTTAATAAAAAATTCTGATATTTTTTTACGTTTACAACGGTCTTTATCAAAGATAACTCGTAACTTATATTTTTGAAAAATGAATTTAACACTAATTTTATATATACCAACAACCTCTCAACAATATTGCTGACCTTGCGATCCACATCTTTGTATACCTGTTTGATGGGACCAAGTGACGTTATGTACGGCGTCATTAACCATGGCTCTCAAGTGTATCCGTGAATGGTGTACAGTTACGTAGCTCTTGAAATTGTTATTATTGCTTATCAAGGAGCCAAGCATTACCTTGATTTCCAATCCAATTGTCTTCCAGATAATCTCTTTCCCTCGAATGCGGTCACACATGTAAGTCGTGGATTGATCCACGAAATCTAAATTTTACTTAGGAGATAAGCGAGTGCTTAGATTAACTCGTCGCCATTCCACTCAGTTTACGGGTACCTTTTCAATTTATGTCAATGAGGAATGCTTTATAAATCGAAAAGGCAAGCATAGCCGGAATAGAATGGAGAGTTAGTCTACATACAAATATGTTTTTGCCTAAATTCCTGAAAATATTTTATTCGTAAGGTTTGCGACCAGTTGAAAATGATGGAAGTAAACTTCTGATTTCCTGGATCAAGGCATCTTATTTTGAGGACGGTGTCGACGTTTCACTAGGAATAAATGAGGAAATATAAACTTGCATATTTTTTGAACTTTCAAATTTAAATGTATTGAAATGACGGCTTTACAGAATGAATCCGCTTTAAGATGTTCGCTAAAAATGAATGAGTTGCCTTTTATTCATATGATACGAGACTAGGATTGATTTTCAACGCACCACAAAATATTATGCATTCTCTATAGATAAATTCATATGTTAATGTATTAATATATTATCTAAAATAATAATAAAATGATATATAATAAAATCCAAAGTTCAATTTTACTATTCAAAGCTTTCCTAAGAAATGAAAGTATGAAATTTATTTATTTATTTATTCCACTTATACTAGAAATTAAACTAAAACAAAATGGCAGTCGAGTTCAATCGACTCTTAAGTAAATCTTAAAATTAATTAATAATAAAACTTAGTATAAATACAATAAAACAAATAAAGAGGAAAAAAAAAAAAAAAAGCATGTACACAACTAGCATAGAGCCACACCCACAACCAATACAGGACCAAATTGCAAGTGAACGCCTAAGCCATCGCAAACATGCATAAGCTTGGCAACTGGTAATTGTTAACAACAAATTAATTTTCGACTCATAATGACATATTTAAGGTTAAGTCAGTTTAAGTACGACATAGGTAAATCGCGCGTATTACGCAATGTTGCTTTAATGGACTTTAAAGAGTCCGTTAATGAGAATAAATAATAGACGTCATTTAGGTTCTTGCAAACACCTCTGAGAGGGTTAAACAGTTCAAAATTATATTTGCATTGACTAAGTTTTATCAACATAAAGTGCCTAGAGAAGCGGTTAGGGACATTAAAGCCTATCTCACGAAGTAATGCGGGCGAGTCAATTGCACCATTTATTAATTTGATTAAGAAGGAATCCCCAAGAACAAATCTACGTTTCTCGAGTGACGGTAAGGATAACAGAAGCAACCTATTTTCATAGGGTGGAAGAGGGGAAATCGGGTCCCAACCCAAATTCCTAAGGGCAAACAGCAAGAATTGCTTTTGCATAGATTCAATTGAATCTACGTAGCACCTATATGAAGGAGACCACACAACAGAGGCATACTCAAGTATAGGTCTAACCAAACACGTGTAAAGCCTTTTCGTAATATAAGGATCATCAAGCTCTTTGGACCACCTCTTTATAAAACCAAACGCGGACCTAGCTTTACTTAACGAGGACTCAATATGCAAATTGAAACGTAACCTATAATCGAATAGAACGCCTAAATCTATGAACGAATCGTCGTCTTCCAACCTGTGCGAATCAATGAAGTATTGAGTACTGAACGACTTCCTTCTTAAGAAAAAAGCTTCTTACATTTATTTAGATTTAGTTTCAGAAGATTGAGAGAGCACCATGCAACCAAATTGTTCAAATCACTTTGAAGATGATGTGATTGCGATTCTACGGAAAAAGAAGAAAACAGTTTCACATCATCAGCATACATTAAAATCTCACTGAATTTAATCACGGAGGGCAAATCATTGATGTATAAATTAAATAAAATGGGACCTAAGTGGCTACCTTGAGGTACGCCAGACGTCACGGGGAATTCATCCGAGGTAATGAGGTTAAACAAATCTGAATGATCTACCATGCAGATAAGAGCTTAACCATTCCACTAAGAAGAGAGGAAAGCCAGAGGTCTGGAGTTTAAATCTAAGTAGTCTATGATTAACCATATCAAACGCTTTGCTAAAGTCAGTGTAAATGACATCAGTGCGAGAACCACTAGAAAAAGCCTTGAAAATATGAGAAGTAAACTCTAACAGATTGGTCACCGTAGATCTTCCCTTTCGAAAACCATGCTGGAAAGGAGAAATATACGATTTCATGGAAAAGGCTATATACTGACCCACAATTCGCTCGAACAGTTTAGGTAAGACACTCAACTTGGCAATGCCTCTGTAGTTCTCTACAAGTTGCCTACTACCATTTTTGTGAATAGGAATAATGAAAGAAGTCTTCCAACACAAAGGGAAAACACCTAAATTCAAAGACTTATTAAAAATCTTTGAGATAACATCACAAAGCTCGCCAGCACAAGATATAAGTACACATGAGGGGATTCCGTCAGGTCCTGGCGAAGAATTATAGTTCAGAGAGCTCAATCCTTCAAAAACGTCATTTTCAGATATAACAAACTTAGGAATTGAAATCGAATAAGAAATCGGATATGGATAGTTTACCGATAAATCAAAATTGGCAGTTGAAAAGTTTTGTCGGAAGTATTCCGCAAAGAGATTTGAGGTTTCAAAATCATCCGAGGACTCGGAGCCATTAAAAGACACAAACGACGGATTTATGGAGATTTTTCTTTTGGAATTAACGAACTTAAAAAAGTATTTAGGGTTAGCAAACAAGGAGGATTTAACAAACTGAAGGTATCTGCAGTAGTATTGACGGTTGAGGGAATTAAATTTATGCCTTGCAACAGAGTAAGCGAAATAGTCGAAAGAAGAACCACTTTTCGAAAATTTTTTGAAAACCTTGTTTTTCCTATTCTTGTAGTATTTAATTGTTTTATTAAACCACGGGGGACCCTTGCTTCGAGGACGGGACTGCTTGATCGGAACGGATGCAGAGATGGAAACGGATGCAGATTATATGAGTTATAATGAAATGTTCATTTTATTTCGTTAAAAATTTTGCATCGTAAACAAACAAATGCCATATTTCCTTTTTATTTTCCCATTATTTTTCGAAATAAATTTCGAAAGCGAAAGCCATATGTAGCTCTCAACCAAATGGCTCTCACTGTACGCTTTTCAAATGATAGCTAGTTAACTAAAGATACATAATTAGTTTGCTGTACGATATAAGCTTTGTGCTTTCGCTGCCAGATCGTATTATAGCATATATTTTATCAGCAGGGCTCTACTAATAATTTGTTAATATTGCTCAATTATGGAATTGGAAGGTTTAGCTCGAGAAATTAATTTAAAACTTCTGTTCATACGTACTTTAACTTTCAGATGAAATGCTCGAGGAACATTTAGATGAAGAACACCAAGGCATGAATATCGATGAAGAGCTCAATAAACTAGAGCTTAAAATCAACAATTGCGAGCAAAGCATTTGCAAATCGGACAAACGTGGAAAGCAAGAATTGGCTTTAACTCTATTGAAAATGCATTTATATAATTTTCAATTTTTGGTTATAACTAAAAAACGCAAAGCCCAGCAGAGGTGGAGGCGCAGACAAACAATGTTGCGGAATTTTGTTATACAGATGTTGTGGGAAAAGGAAATGAATAGTTTGCAAACCTTACCCATGATAATAAGCCCGCAAATCTTATTCCGAAACAGTAATGCAACAAAACCACTAGAAAAGAAGCGCCGGGATTACTTTGAAGATATGCTATATTCATTTACAGACGAACAATGGCTAAATACCCTTCATCTATCTAAAAACACTTTCTCAATGCTGTGTGAAAGACTGAAACAAGTCACTGACAAGGCCGAAGTAAGTCGGTCTCTAGGAAAACGTATATTTATAGCTTTATACACCTTTTCAACTGGCACCAACTTCCATTACCTTGCTTCATTATTCAACGTATCACTAGTCGAAATCCGCGAAATATTAAAATGGTTTGTTAAAACTTTTCTGAAGCAGATGGGCTCGAGTTTATTAGTTATGCCTAGTGAAGATCAAGAGTATCTAGAAATACGGACGGCTTTTCAACAGGCTTCGTATATGCCGCCGGTAGCAGTAGGAGTCTTAAGCATATTTGAGCTGTCTGTTGATGGCAAAAGAATCGGAGCGAAAGTCCAAGGTAACGATCGCGTCATCGTCCAGGTTATTATTGATGATCGCCTGCTGTAAGTTCAAATTTGGCTCTAGTGCATCACGAACATTTATATGCCATTTTATTATTTAGATTTCGCAAGGTTGAGATCGCTGGGAATAAACCCTCGCTGCTCTTACGTAACAATTCCGAAGTGAATTGTATAAGATGGCCTAAAATATTTGGTAGATCTGTCTCCTGTTTTGTGGCCGCACCCAAAGACTATCCTTTACGCACTTGGCTAATGAAATCGTATGATAACCCCAAAAAATCTTACGAATTCGACTTTAACGAAGCAATGGACAATTTGTATATATTTCCGGATGTTGCTTTACAGCGCCTGTTCGGTCGTTGGAAGATTTTGTCATGTTCGGAATTTATTGAATCCCAACTTAAGGGTAATATTGCGAAAGTATGTTGCGCGCTACACAATTTGCTCGAAGAAATTGAAGAATTCTACGACGATAATTGGTTGGGGAATATGGACATTTCAAAATATTCATACACCTTCAGATCGCAATTAACACAATATTACGATGATTGCAAAGAAGCATTAGAAATGCGGGACTTTTTGGCGCGCTGCATAGGATGGAGTCAAAAATTGGACGAGTGAAAAAGCTATACGTTTTACATTATTTTTAATTACTTTTGATTAGGTCAGAAAGTAAACTGAAGCAAATCAAAAATTTTGGACAAACACTTTATTATTCGTCGATATGAAATTTATATAGTGAATTTTTTGGAACAGCCGGAAAGCATCGAAAACGATGAATTCTGCTCGGGTCTCATTGCCAAAAAAGTGTATATTTTCGCGTATTTTATTTACAAAAAAAACCATTCAATTGTTAACATTATCTATGATAGTTTGGTAATCCATTCCAATATTCAAATTGAGCTGATTTCTGCCAAGTGTCAGCCCACTTAGCAATCACATCTTCTACTTATAAGAAATAATACGTCGGCGAAATTTTACGCACAACGACGCGGAACCACACAGTGATTAGAAAACAGTTTTCAATCGTATGTGAATTAAACATGTGCAATGGACCGAATTGCGAAACGCATTTGAACCATTCTTGAAGAAATTGATAAGGTGCGGTAAAAAAAATGGCAATAACAGGGGATTCGTCATTACAGATTCCTTTAAGCCAGCCAGACAGTTAATTCTACTCTTTAATGTTAAAAACTAAGGCAATTGCAGCACGAAACAGCGGCGAAGAGTCAGTCCAGAATGGAGCAATCGCAAAAAGCGTAGTCATTCTTCATGATAATGCTAGACCGAGCACATCTTTAATGATTCAGTAATAACGGAGAAAATTGCATTAGGAGCTTTTGACGCACTCAAAATGACTTGGAACTTTCCTCGTTGGACTACCATCTGTTTCGCCCCTGCAAACATCTTTCCGGCAACTTCAACTACATTGATGAGATAATCGTTCTGTTAAAATATTTGCCCAAGAGATTTTCAATGAAAATGATGCATGTTTGGTTTAATAAAGTACAATTTTAATAAAATGTGTACGAGTCTTGCGAAAAAAAAAGCGAAATAGGAATTATTTTCCATAGTCTATCTATTACACATGTACAGGATTTGTTTGTTATTCTTAAATGAATTGATTGCAAGGATTTAATTACCAAGGAAATGTTCATGTATTTCTCCATTAGTAAGTTAGTATACTTTCTAAACGGATTATAACAGATCGTTCAATCCGATTGCAAGATAACTATGAGCGAATCCGTATGATTTTGAAATAATATCAACCATTAAGAGATATGTTTCAAAATTTCATGATATGCCGATCGATATTTTACAATTTACGTTTGCTTTAGCCACGCTACACAAGGGATTTGGAATTTGGCATGCTCTTAAAAAAAACAAAAGTAGCATGCTACCTATGAGGCATATGAATTCGCCAAAAGCTGTGACACCTATTTGCTATTCTACGAATTAATTGAGCGATGTGTTATATATTAAGAAATGATGGAATGACCGAGGGTGCTCGTATACGATATGAATATCAAAATTCAACTCAGTATATTTTGCATTTTGTAAGTTTTACGATTTGAAGTCCTTTTTAAGCTATCGTGGACTAGTGGATCGATAAATGAACAATTCAATCAATTTTTGTATCATAATTTTCCGATCATTACAATACGAAGTAGACAAACGAAGGGGCGTTTGTCGATAGACCTGATGTACTTCGAATTTTTATTTTAATTTCTATTATTGAGGCTACGGACAAGCTTCCGCAATTTATCGACTTTTAGCTGTTAAGAAGAGAATAGAGATCTAAGGAGGCAACGTTTTAAGAAAGATGCCAAAAACCAAATCCAGCCATTGCTAGCAACCTAAGATGAGAATGACAATTTTTATAACGAATTGGTGCTTTCCTCGTCCTTCCGTTCATGTATATAAAAAAGTGCACTTACGAAAGAAATGTTTCTTATATATTACAAGTCGGAGATTTGAAATATTTAAACTTGTTAAGGAGAAAAGGTCCACCTTGTTATATATTAATTTTTTTTTCAGAATCGTAGAGTCTCCTAAAAGGATATTCGTGTATCGATTTTTGACCCAAAATGAAAAGGTGGGGATCAGCTTAATCAAATTTCGGCATTTCGACAACAACTATGTTTACGTCTTTTTTAAAAATTTTTTCAATATTATATGTTGAATATTTTAAATTCAATTTTAAATCATTTTTTAAAAATTTATTTCTTAAAATTAAAGTGAGGTTATATCTTAAAAATAATTGCACTGTATATGAAATGTATAGGAATAGTTGACGTGAAAGGATTTTGGTATTATAGTGGGGGATTTGAAAATCATATATCCAAGTACCCTAATTCGAAACAAAAAGTCCGCACTGTTGTAATGATTTTATTAACGCATTTATATTGTGTACAATGGATTCCAATTTGTGTTAACGCAGTTATAATTATGTCAAGTTTTTTCAAACAAGTTTCAAAATAATTTTTTTATTTTTCAATCTCTAAAAATTATCAAAATATAAAAGATATAATAAAAAAAAAAAAAAAAAACGACACATGCGCTCTTTCCTAACAATCATTTTTCACATTATAAATAAGTTTTTAAAATTTACAGAAAAAAATGTAAAAAACCCATATATAAAAATAATAAATAAAATAGAAAAAAAAAAAAAAAAACTGTGATATATTCACAAGGGACGTGTAACTTATCTTCAACGCGCGATCTGATTGCATGGCATGGGCATGGGCTTGTCTAATAAGCAAATCTTGTATCAGGATGATAACCTAGTGTATCTAGAGCAGGATTGCAAGCAAAGTTAATCATTGGCGGTGGGCCACACATCAACACGACGGTAGATTCACTGGCCGAGAACAGATGCGTTTTAATCATTTTCTCATCGATAAAGCCAACATCGTAGGACCAGCCTGAAATGAATCAATAAATTTAATAAATATTTTTAAAGCTCTTGTAAAGCTTTAGTAGCTTAACTACTAGCTTAGCGGAGTTGACATGTACCTTATTTTCTTCAATTCTTAAGGCAGCATTTGTTTTAATTGAAAAAAAAAAAAAGGTAGTAATGATAACAAGAATGAACAAATTTTCTCTGCGGTACATTCAACGATATCTAAAGTGCTAATTATAATTACGCGAAGCGCATCGATACATTGATATATATACATATATATATATACATATATACATATATATATCTGTAGGCATCAATTTAGTAACTAAAGCGCATATCAGCATGGTGTCCCAATCTTTCTAAGCCGGGTATGCACGTATAATTCACCATAGATGGCGGACCGCACAGCAAACAGAGTGTATTTAAACTAGATGGAAATAAATGTTCTTTCATCATTTCATCGTTTACATAGCCAGTATTATAAGTCCAGCCTTTGCGTTTGTTATTTGGTGGCATCCGCATTTGTTGAGCAATGTTTTCAAAACAAAAGAAAATTTATAATCATATAAAATTCGAAAAACACTTTTATGAAATACTCTATGTAAGATCAGAAGTCGATTAAACGAAGCTGACTTCTTTCACTCTACACTTACACTATACAAACTTGTCAACCTCTAATTTAAAAAAAAAAAACGTGCAATGTGGACGGAAGCTGATGCGAGACTGAAAGAGCAGAGTTTTGCAAGAAAGACTTTGTCGTTTTTATAACATTTCGTCAATTACTTATGAAATTGCATTTTATCTGGCGCGTAACCATATTCAAATATCGCCGGCAAGCCACAATACAATTCCAATTTCCTCGCGCAGACAATCTTAAGCTTTTTTGGTTTATCAAACCATTAGCTCTGTTACAAGCATAACGTCATTCTTAAAGAAAACAACCCAAGTTCTTAGATAAATCCCGGATAAACTGTAGTATTATTTACCATTTCCGTAACCATTTATCATTAATTAAAACCATTATTATCAACATCCATAACAACTATCGCTATATATAAGAGACGCTGCAATATAACAATGAACAAGAAGAGAACACAACCATCAGACCCAAGCTGAAGTCTTTGATTCTTTCATTTTTAATATCTTTTCTTTCAACATTAATAGATAGTTCGCGACTTTTGCTAATGCCTAATTTATGTGTTCAAATCTACAATATAGATTTAAAACTGACAATTTCCCAATCCCGTCCTATTCACTATAAAACATTCCATTTGTCTTTAAATTCTAAACTACGTTTAGCTTTATGCAGCTCGAGCATCTGGGATATGACTTTTCTAAGTGAGACATTCTATCCTTTATCGATTACCGCAACTTTCACAACTCGACATATTCCAAATTCCAAAAATTAAAAATATATTGTTCCCTCTTGTCTTAGTTTGATTTTCTATTTTTTATCCGCCTATATTTTAGTGAAAGCTGCGGGAAATTTATATACATATACTCGATTTTTTTTTTAAATACGTAGAAATATAAAAAAATCGAAAAAATTCTTTTTTTTATTTTTTTTTTATAAATATATTTGATGCAATTGAGCAAGATTATCCAACTGGCCTCCAACGTTCTTCTTACGAAAAGCAAAGCAATGAGCCCAACTTTCGAAAAGAATCAGATTTGTTGCTGTCCACATGAAAAGGTGTTAAATCACAGCTCCTTCGTGGAGTCGATTCGATTTCGACATTTTTTGATATTAATTATTAATTGAATGCAAGTCTTATTGAATCGAGAGTCGAACGCCACTTTGAAAATTTGTAAATAAACATAACTGAATGTATAAAAGTAAATTGTGTTCGGATTCAAATATCGTTCAAATGTCAACCACGCCTCTGAATACACTGACGCATATAACGGCTTCAATATCTAATCACTCACGTGACGCGAATTTCTGCGACCAGGAATTCAGCACGTAGATGGAGCTACGCTCGATTTCCTGAGGGAAAAGTCTGGTCATCAGATCAACACAAGCTGTGGAATTGGCCGCCCTAGTCGGATGATTTAACAGCTATGAAATTTTTTGGCCTCTGCCTTTGCTGACAAGCCACAAAATGGGTAAATTTGGACGCGAACATTCGTCAGGGTATCCCAAATATAACGCGACTAATACTAAACGTATAACAAACAAGGACAAAATGATGTTGATATTTAAAATGTAGCCGCACCGACCAAAAAAATCCTATCATCCGTAATGAAAAAGCCGTTATTTTGATTATTGACTATTGGCATGTTTTTTTGGGACCGTTGACAAAGATTGAATAATTATGTTTTTGAGTGTGGAAAAAGAAGAGGAGAAAATATGAATCCCATCGGTTGTAAACGGCGGCGTTGTTTCAAGTTAGAGCGGTAAAGTTTCACGAAACAAACTCATCATTTATTAAGCATATTAATAAAAACTCACCTTCAGCGGCTTTATCGACAGTATACCAGACTTTAAACTGCTTTGAGTGTCTCTGTGCCAAATCATCCAATTCATTACGCAAGAGGATATCTTTTTCACTCTGCAATCCAAATAATATATGTAATCTCTATAATTGCGACGTAATCGTAGTAATGACACTTTATTACCTGATTGGCGAATAGTAAGGCCAATTCAGTACCATCCTTTTCGCCTCGCTTCAATATATCACGGATCAATTGCAGCATGGGAGTGATACCTGTACCGCCAGCAATCATATTCACTCGTTTAGCTGTTACTGTCTTGGGTGGATCTTTACGTAGCTTCTTAATCGAGAAATTACCATTGCCCATATATTGCAGACGTCCCGAGGGCCCACGGAATGAAATTTTATCCCCGATTTTCATTTGTTCTAAATATTGCGACATTTTTCCGCCAGCCGGAAATTTAGGATGCGTATCTTTAAAGTAAACTTTTATTACAAGATCCACATAGCCGACATCGTCATCTGATGAGATTGGAGTGTACGGACGTATCACAAGTTCATTGTCGATAGTAGCTATGAGATGAATATGCTGACCAACTGGCAGACCTAGTATGTGCTGATGTGAAGGCAACCCAAAACGGAAACGGCGGGTATCGTGGCTGATGATCTCTTTTTCAATCAAAGGCAATTGATATTTATCATTAGCGTCGACTAAAGTACGTAAACGTACGGTTCGATTAGGTTCTGGACGGGCTTTCTTTGTCGACTTCTTGTTGATCAGATAGTGGATTATAGCTGCACCAACCACCACAGCGATAATACTTACAGCAATAGGAACAATCTAAAAAAAAAAAGAGAAAAAAATTTATATACATATATGTATATATATATTTATTTTGAAAGATATTTCGCCCTTTGCGCTTTACGCGCCAGACGAACTTAGATATACGTTCGCAATATACAAACACTTTATTCGTGTAGTTTTTTTTTTAACAATTTCTTTTAAAGGTGTATAAAACTATTTGGTATAGTTATTGGAATTTTGCAAGGCTAACACTATTCATTTCGATCTATGTGGATCAGTCAAAAATCACGGCGAAAATTCGCTCAATCTTGCAAAGGCAGAAAGATTTGAAATGAAATTGTCGTCCAATCAAAAAAACTCCTGTTCACATAATTGCTTTTCGACACTAGCGAATTGGTCGTTAATTGCCGACATTAAGTAAGAACAGGATAGTCTTCTTCGAAAGTGACACAACAAGACCAACTGTTCTCAAGCCTTTGTTGTAGAACGATGCCGAGACACCCAAAACAAGCTGCAGCATGCTCAATGATCCGTCCATGTGATCTAAATCTTTCGCTGTGGAGCATTCCTTTGAAACTTGCAAGCAAATTATAATCGCAGGAAGCAGGTACTGGAGAATATGGCAGATGGCGCCATAATTTGCGCTTAAGTTCATGCGATTCTGCTTTAAGTAACAAGTTAACGTTTTGGGTCCACTGCGCCATTGGAAAACAGCTCTCTCGAACTGCAATTTTCTTTCGAAATAGCGAACAGACTCTTTTCCGAAATCTTCTTCTCAACGGCACTTTTCAATTGTCGAGAGAATTTTTTAAAATTTTTTTGTTATGTTTCCCCTTAGGACCATCTCTCTTGAACCTCTACTGCATTCAGGATCATCACCATTATGGTTACTTCCTATAGAGAAGAGTTGCCATAACAATTTTCCAGGAAATGCTTAGCTTGAACGGCATTAAAAAATCAATATTTAATCAATACACGAAATCCACTATTAAAACAACAGCGCCGTTTGAGAGTTAACGTTTTCTAAAAATAATATGGATTTTTTATTACGAACGACATCTATTTGTCAGTCTTGGAAATTATTGGCCGATGTATTAATACAAATTTGGTTTATGTAAGTCATCGAATTCTCTTATCACTCTTTTTCAAACTATAAAAGATACGTAACATGTACCGAGAAAATCGCGTGGCAAGCTACTTTTGCAAACAATATTTATTTCTATATCTATTTGAGTGTTTCAGATAACACTCATGACAATAATTTAATTTTAAGAATTAACAAAAATGGATTATGTTCAGCTTTGATTAAACTTTTTGATAGCAACAGCTGACTTATTTTTGTTGTCGTTAAATAAATTTTATTTAGAAAACGTGCAAGATCATTATGGTCGGGCAAGGCCGATTGTTAGATACCCTACACCACTTCGCCTAATGTAGCTATTCACACACGTTGATAAGAATGCACCAAATATCGTATACATGGTCTTCATACAATACAAGCATACTTTTCATGAAAGCCCGCATATTGGAGAATGCCCAATAAATCGCATGACGTTATGCAAATTTAGCAAACTTAATTTACTTCCAAAAGATCTAATTTTTTTCAGTCTCCGTTATAAAAAATTAGAAATTAGACTCTTTCTTTACACAAGGCTTATTTTTCATCATAACCTTTATATTAACTGGGACCTGAAAAGTGATCTTTGTGATCCACTTTCGCTAGGGTTAATTTTTCTACTAAATTGCTAATATGAACTAATTTCCATCATAACATACTACAAATTAGATATTTTTCTTAACGGCTTACTATCCATGAGAAATCGTATGTGAAGTTAGGTCAAAGAAATAGAATAATGTGGTCTGAAATTTGATCCACCTAATTTTTATATCAAATTACTACCAAATTTGCATTATAATGCATTATTAATTACACCTGCGTGGCGTATAAGTGATTACATTTTCTAGGAATCCTTATACTCACTCGTATCCAAATAATAGACTTACGTGATCCAAATTCGATATTAAATGTTGAAAATTAGTCATTCAGCTTCCGTAGGAACGGTTATATGAGAGGAGGTGAATGTCGAAATGCTACTACACAGCGAGTTTTGTCAAAAAATTTTGAAAAGTGGTCGAGAAAATGTGCCGACCCGAACGAATTCCAATAGTATTCGCGCGTGAAAGCATGTCACTGTTCATCAAAAATCTCTGATTGAAAAGAAATTTATATGGATTCGATTCAGACAAACGATCGTTATAATAAAGCATGGGTCTATATCGAGCCCGTCTGGGTATTATATACGCCCGCACACTACTGCGAGATATGATGAGTGTCTTCGATCTTAATTTCGAGATGTTACTAAGAGAATAATTTTACAATCGAAAGATCTTTCACTCGGTAGTAAGAAAAATGCGTACTTTATCGACAGCTGTAAACTCTCTACCCGCTATAACGGATCTATAATCCAACGGTACCAAATTTATTCGATCGAGTTTGCTCTATACCGGGAACAATGAACGGACGGAAATGTTTCATCAAAAATTCGAAATGTAACGCGGATGCACTAGCAAGCAGCGTATCCTTATTCCAAGGTAATGACTAGCATATGCGCGATAAAGTATCCACAAGATTTCGCAAGAGAATAAACACATTAAGATGCAAATAATATTAAAGTTCATTTACATAGCGCTTAGCTCTGCCCGATTTCTTCTTTTACATTAATTAAATATTTTCGCTTATGTTGCTATTACCATCACTTTAAATCTGTTTATCTCTTATCTTTTCATGGAAACCACAAAAATTTTAATATCAGACCATGATATTAATTTATACAAAACAAAACAAAACACTGACCTACAAACTATTATTTCAATGTTCGCAGTCCAGAAATAGTTATAAATTAATTGATTGATGATTTGGTCTGCAAGTCAGTTAGCTCATCTCACACGCATTTAGCTTCATTTGCATTGCTTTTACTTACAAAAATATCCAAAAGATCGAATGATTCAGCTGACACCAAGGAAAGTCAAATTTCAATATCATAGAATACATATAATTTGAATAAAAACGAAGATATATGTGTATGTATAATATGTATGTTGACAAATCTTAACTTAAAGCCTTAACTTTCATAACTTGCATATTTAAAACACTGCGACACATAGTGACTTACATCAACGTTTTCCATTTTTGATTTTTAAAGTAAAGTCAAATATGATATCTTGACTGCTTGACGAATAATAGCAAGAAAATCCTAATTCAATGTAATTATTATATTAAACACGTATAAAAGCCGTCATAAACTGTACGACGTTTTTAATATTTCACTACTTATCAGCGGTGTCTGTTTAACTCTCCCTTTTCTCTATAGAATGAGAAGAGAGTTAAAATGCGTTTTTATATTATATTATAGTGAGTAACAATTTTCAAAACTGAATACAAACGCGGTTATATAATATAGGGAATACTCTCGCTTCTGAAATCAACTTAATCTGAAATCGGAGACAACAAAACACATGGATGCTCAAACATTTTGCTCAAAATCGAGATTAGGAGAATTTTAGGGACTTTTTATGTATCCTTTATCAATAATAGTAGTCATCTACAACAAGCCAGAATGTTTTGTTTAAAAGTATTTTGTGCATTCCTCACATGAAGATACATTATCTGCTTAATAAGGGGCTAAAAGTAAAATAATGAAATGGACAAAGTAATTAGTTTTTTCTTAATAATACCAGCGATATAGGTGTCAAATGAAAAAGCTTGGGCAGTGGAATGCGAAAAGCATAGATGTGGGTATGTGAGATTCAGTGACACACCGAGATGGTCTTCAGCATATATCATACAAGCAGTTATCCTAAACCGCATGACTAGAATTAAGAACTATATATATATAGAATTTTATTTAGTTGCTCAATTGTTTAATCCCGGAATATAAATAATATAATGGTTGTATAATATAAGTAAGGGTCGTGGAGGATAATTCATGCGTGATATGGAAAATTGGATAGAATATGTCAAGTATATATATGTAAGCAAATAAAATTAATAAATATATAAATAAAACAAATCAGACGGATAAAGATATATATATCCGCCTGAGTGGCCGAGTAGACAAGAGTCTCGACTAGCAACTCAATGGTCGTGGGTTCAAATCTCAAGTGCAGTTTTAATAAAAGCCGAAAGCCCTAGATGCTAGTGCTTTACGACTTAGTCTTAATAATAACAATGATAATAATAAAGATATATATAATAAATTTTAATATAGTTTTTTTTTAATAATAATAATAATAACAACTGCCTTTATCTATTTCTTCATATGAAAATTGAAATGACTGCTAATTAACAGCGTTACTGCTATTATTGATAATGGATACATAAAATGTCCCTAAGATTCTCCTAAGCTCGATTTTGAGCGACACGTTTGAACTATCTATGTGTTTCGTTGTCTCTGCTAAAATATTATAATAATGTATTGATGTGTGCATCATTTTGTACGTTTGACCCACACTTATCCACTCAGTTTTTTTTTTTCATCTCATTTACCATATACATTATTTGTGTTCGCTTATCATTTTTATACTGTTCGCAACTTATGGTATAGGGTATATTAAGCTTACTTGTTACATCAGAGAGGACTTGATGTAGACCCACCTTTTACTACATTGATCAATTCACAAAGTGACTCTAAGTTTTTCCGTCCGTTTGTCCGTCTTTTAACTGCTCATGAATTCTGGTATTCAACTTATAGGTTGAAATTTTCGTAATTTTTTATAGAAATTTGGTTATTCGAAATGGTTCGGATCGGGTCGTTTTTTCCAACCAATCCCCATATAACGCCTTATTTCGATAAGTCATTATAAGAAAAAAATTTTAATTTTTAGAATTTCGCAAAAAAATTCCAGACCATCCTTGCCACATAACCGTTTCTACGAATATTAAATCGTTACAAAGGACTACTATTCAATATTTTTTGAAGAAAATTCCAGCCAAAACCAAGCTTGGACCAAGCAGCAGGTCCATTTTTTCATATTGA